TCTGTGGTGCTGAAATGGACAGCGCCTCTGCCCAGCTGGCAATAGATATTTCCTGCAGAGACGGTAGAGAAAGTGAGACACCCCACTCCCTAATTTTTTCTGATCGGGCGGGGCCACTCTGGTCTACTTAATGCCCCCGCCCCGCAGATGGGGTGCCCCAGGTGAGACATCTCACTTGTAAAAAAAAATATGTTCGGGGTGGGGGTAACGGGAGGGGACAATAACTAGACCAGAGCTAGCTGTTCCCTCTCTTGCATAAGTATGCCAGATATTATGAAGGAACCGTGAGCTCACATGGTGAAAGCATGCTCGCACAGGAAAAGTATGCTCACGTGAGAGAGGAAAAGCCCACTTTCACAGACAGGAACCTTGACAATTGTTTTCAATGGTAAACGGCCTGAATAAACTCATATTTTATCCACCATCTTTGTTTCCCGTTCGAGGACATTTTTACATGTTATAGACATAATTCAATACATTTACAGACAAGTTTCTTACCTCTTACATGAGTCTCAAGCAGAGTCTGGCGCGCAGGGGCGGACTTGGACAAAAATTCAGCCCTGGCCGTTTTAGCCACACCAGCCCACATCGCACATCACCATCACCACGTTACTTACACACACAGGCAGTAATGCTACTGACACCTAACATAGGCAGTACACTACAGCACAGCGTTTGTCAACTTTTACTGTACCAGTGACCGGTGAAACATATTCCTCCTTTTTAAACCAGCTCTTTTTAACCAGCTCATGTTTAGGAGAAAAAACACCACTGGAGATACAAATTACCACTATAACTGTGCCTCTGTTGCCTCCCTGTTGTGCAATCTGTCTCTGCATCTTCTCTGTCTGTCACTGTCTGTCTGTCTGTCTGTCACTCCTAATTGTTAATTGGTATTACATATAGAGCCAACATATTAAGGAACTGGCAGTACATCTGTGTCTCTCTGTTTTCTTCCTACCTCCACTGCACTCACCTCTGAGCTGTTTCTGCTAAGCCTATCATCCTTTCCCACAGCACTGGTACCGGAAGACCAGGGGACCACACTGCCTGTGCTGGACTGCCTGTGCTGGGACCAGCAACATCCTAGTTGTGAATGAATAAACACATTTATTAGATAAAGAAGAAAAATTACTGAATAAATGCCTAATAGATGACCATTGGTTCATAACACCTTATGAAAGCCTAACTACTTATATTGCTAGTTGGATTCGGGAGATTTCTAGTATTGTGCTTCGTTTGACAGTGCCGCGTATGCGTATCTTTCTGCCAAGAAGTGACTGGCCTTTCAGTGAAGGAAATAGGCGGGACTTTCCAGCTGGCTATGTAATGTAATTTGACACCAGAGTCACTCGTAACTACAGCTCATAAACTAAGACCCACTAGCTGGCTGAAGAGACTGAGATTCAGAAGATAATAAATGTTGATAAAACAATTACAATACACAGTCAGTCCCCACATTTTCCATTAACAGAGGATTATTTAGCAATTATATGCAATAATTTAGTGTTTCATTGTAATACATGATGACTTGTATTTAATAAAAATCAGTAGCACTGTATTTAATGTGTTATAGATGGCTATTGTGTTAGTAAAGCCAATCTAACTACTTTTTATTGCAAGTTATTGCAAGTTATTGCAAGTGTTCCCCCGAATCCCCCCTAGCTTAATTAGGCCTAAGTGTTAATTAGCCTACTATTTCATACGACATACAGCCAAAATATTAACTGGCAGCAGTAGGCTAAATCTGTGTCAGTGTGTGTGTCTTTCTCCATTTTCTCGCTACCTCGACTGCACTGTCTTCTCCAACAGCAGCTGATCTGTCCGTGCTAAGCATAATTTCTCAGCACAGACACAGAACTCGGACCAGCAGAACCAAAACTTTTAGAAGTTGGTTAATTTCACACAAAATTTGCAGCATTGGCCTTTTTTTGGTCTCTCTACATTTTTCTGCATCATCTTTCCGTTTTTTATGATCCATGATCTGGGCTGACTTATGACAGAGAGTCATAGCGGGTCTCTTTGCTGATGCGCGTTTGACTTTGAATGTGAATTTTGGCGCAAACTTAGCTCAGCCAATCAAAAAACCCGGGCAGGCCCATCTTGGTAGGGGGGATGGCCATTGCCCACTGATCAGGCAAATGTGCAAAGACTACTCCGTTTCGGTTTCAAGTTTTGTACATAATAATAATAATATGCCATTTAGCAGACGCTTTTATCCAAAGCGACTTACAGTCATGTGTGCATACATTTTTACGTATGGGTGGTCCCGGGGATCGAACCCACTACCCTGGCATTACAAGCGCCATGCTCTACCAATTGAGCTACAGAGGACCACATGTACATGTACAATTTATATTATTTCCATAATTTTTAAAATTTTAAGAGGAAACGAGACTCATATTCCGGAGGGGAACACTCCCCAGCCATATTTTTTAAACAGGACAAATCTGAGGGGGCACGTGCCCCCTCTGACTCATATGTCTAATTCAGATAGGCCTATCACATTTCACTCTTTGGAAATAATAAAAATGAATGGAAATATTGGCCTGTGGAGAGCTTATAATATCTGCTGCATTTATCATATCATCCGTATCATATGACTAAAATATATAAATACATTCATTGGTTTTGCATCTATAATATTGCAAGTGAGACGTTTAAGTATAATTGGGTTATTTGTCTGCAGCTAAGCTACTCTTTGACAAGACTAGACTCCTATTCTTTTTTCATAAAAATTTTCATTAAATGTTGTCTAGTGGGCCTAATAAAAAGTTAAAGTTATGGACAGCGTATAATAAATTATATTTGACCACATTTTGTTGACAATTTACTGAACATGTTATGGCTGAGATTCGCTGTTTGGTGATTTGTTGAGACCATTTTGGTAACATCTTTCAAAACTTGTCAAATGGGGCATGCCAATGTTCATTTTGAAACTTGTAGGCCTATTTGTATTTATTTTTTTCAAAATCGAAAAGAAAAGCTATCTCTACATTAGTTTAAGTTTTATTTTCGAAATGTGAAGAATATGTTTTTATTTCACATTGGAAAGCATTAGTCCTATGATCCAAACTCCTAAGAAGAAATGTAGGCCTATAACAACACAAAAATCATCAGTAGCCATCAATAATTCCTCATTTATTTTCATGAACTAAAGAGAAATGGTTGTTATCGCCAATTTTGAAGTGTTATGGTGTTTTCATTGTATTTAGGCATAAGTAATTCGATGGGATATACATGGGAAATATAGTAACATAAAATAATAACACTTTCAAGGAAGAAAAAAGACCATAGGCCAAATTAAAATAGTTCAAAGTCAAATGCTGACACGAGAGAAAGATGACCCCTAAAACTCTAGAGGAATTGGGCCTAAAAGTCTTTAACATGGAAGAGACTTCATTAAAGTTAGGCTTCACGTGAACATCTGTCATTTTAAACATGTAAAGTATAGAGAATTTAACAGTTTGTTGAACAACCCTGATGCTCCCTGTGGAAAAATGGGTTGTAATTAGCTGGATATCACAATAGTTTAATTATATATTTTTTCTGCCGTTCATATCAATAGAGGAGGCAAACAACGTTTCTTTTGTTCTCCAATGCAGGACATTATGTGGCTGAATTAGTGGGTCTTGGCTATGTCTACATGGATTTGCCATATGGCAACAAAAAGGAAAGAATGGAGATGGGAAGCTCTTTGTGTTGGAAATGAGAACAAGGCCGTCCGAGCTACGCGTGTCTGCGTGGAGCTGGCAAAGTCATTCTCACCATCAAAAGTCTTCCAATTCCTCAAAATGTAGACATTATAACGCATAAACATGTTATATTAATTGGTTAAGTCATGGATAGGGGCATTTGTCAGCGTTAGGAAGGGGGCATAGGCCTATGCATTTAGCAAAGTTCTATAGCGCATGAGCATGCTGAGTGCATGGTTTGCTTTCTTTCAATTAAGGGTAAACTTGCAAGTATGACCAACTGAATGGTTCCTTTCAATGGACAAGGACAATTACAAAGACTAGTAGTTTTTTTTTTTTTTTGGGCAGGTGGCCTCCACGGCTGAGGTGGTGTGGTGCGGTGTTTCCACGGAGTAAACAGTGTGGGTGAGAGGTTCTTTAGACGAGTTGTTGAGTGCGGGTGAATGTGGGGGTGTCCGTGTGGACAATGCGGGGTTCCAAAGGCAGCTGCTGCCGTTCTTTAGAATGGCGAAAGGGCCTTTAAATCCCAGACTATATCCCGCAGCTGCCAATGGCTGCACGTTTAAATGCGCCATCTCATGCAATTCAACTAAGCTTATACTTTTCTTTTTTCCCCAAGGCCTACAAGCAATATTGGCACGCAGAGCTAAAATTAGGCTACCGGTATCAAATAAATATAAACTTGAAAATGTATGGTGATTGTAGCCTATAATCTCTTGAAAATATAGGCTTACATTGTCTTTCATATTTTTTAGGCCTATCGTCATTTCATAAAAAACCAAGGACAACTTTTTTTTGCATCCAGCAAAAACCTTAAACTGACCTTTAATTATGTTTTTGCGAGAGGGAAGTTTAGGTTATGTGGGGCTGGCATTGGTGAACCGACAAGACATGACATTATACAAATTAAATGTTTTTAGAAAATTGGTTTGACTTTAGATCAAATCGTATTGTTGTGTCTAGGCCTATGCTTGCATCATTTAATTTGATGGCCATGATTATTTTGCCAGATGAGTTTGTAATCAGAAATTGCAAATTATTTTCATCACAGGGAAAGGGGTAGGCTATTTGATGGCAAAACAGAGCGGGCGGTGCAAATTTGTCTTGTGTCTTGACTGGGGGGGGGGGGGGGGGGGGCAACAGATGTTGGCTGAGCTATGAGGTGATGTAGGCTTTGGCTGCGGTGTCTATACTGCTGTAAGCTTTTGTTACTACTTTACAGGCTAGATAATTCAGACTATTCTTACACACCATAAAAACTGACCCTTCATGTAAACAAACAGTCGGAGAAGATAAACAAAATGGTTCAATTTAAATGAAAATATTTTATTTGCATCTTTTGCAAAACAGAAAATGAGGGCAATGATATTGAAAACGGCTCAGAAACACGATGAAATCTACGTTTCAAGTGCACTATAAAAAGCTACATGATTGCACAATAAAACTTTGTAAAATAAAAATTTAAAAAAATGTGCCCATTGGCTAAATCAAAACGGCATTTGCAAATGTAGGCCTAAAGAAACAAATAAATTATAAGTTAGAATAGTCTTAAAAAATAGCCTATATTTACACAACCCAGATATATTTAACAGAAATAACAATTTATAATGTCTTTATAAAGCTGTACACTTTTGGCCAGTGTAGACAATTTAAAGTAATTTAGGATTGCACAGTTGTTAAACATTTAACACTGTCAAGTGGCTGTATGCAAAGCAACCATGAATGCTACATTTTGTCCGAGTCCTTAGGCAAATTCTCTCTCCCGACCGTTCAATCCTGAGAGTCCACGGACTGTTAGGCTACGTTCCATATAGGTCCACTCGGAGACGCACCAAGCCGATGGACAGTCGAGCAGGCGGGTCTCCATCCCTTGTTTTTTCGTCTCCTTCAAGTCGGACGGTAGGAGAAACGATTATCACAAAATAGTGCTAACGCCTGGAAAGAAAATAAAAATACATTAGTGTTCGTTGACTAAAAAAAGAAATTGTACAGCCATGAAAGCTAAAAATCATGAGTCAGCTCTGAAAATAAAATGAGAGTTGTTGCCTAACCTCAGCTGGCGTCAACATTTGCATGAGCCTTTCCCGCCACAGTGACAGACTCCCCTCCCCCAACCACACATTACTCTACTACGTGAGCTCACTCACTATCAGCTTCCTCGATCAGTGCAAGTGTGTAACAGTATTTTGATTTTGCATTACAGTCAACAAAATAGCCCCATATGCGCACAAGTACCTATTTTGTCCAGTATTAGTAAACCCACAGCCTATGTCTAAATGCCATACTGCCCATTTCTCTTGAACTATAGGCTATACCTTCAACGAATTCTCTTGCGTGGAGTTTGTTCTACAGGAATGGGAGACGAAGGATGCTGGCAAGTGCTTTCATTCAGCTTCGTCTCGGTCGTCGTCCTTTTACGTTTCACGTAGAAGTCTGGAAAGAAAAGTACAATTTAAAACAAGGAACTCACGCCAATGGTCCCAGGTAGCCAGATATTAGCCTACTGACCGGACATCACTAGATCAAATATACCTCGAGATTCACCATCAATGCGTAAAAAGCAATAGGCTTACAGGTGAGCGATATTTACCTGTAATATGTGCCGTGGTCGTTGTATCAGTAGTAGCCGTTCTTTTGCTTCGAACACACGGGACTGGTTTGCGAGTAGGCTTCCCTGAGTTCTGCTTCACTGCCCAGTTCTCCTGGTTGACTTCGGTGGGGCAGGGAGTGCTACTTTCAGAGCTGGTCAAACGGTCCTCGCAAAGAGGCGATACATCCTGAGAAGAGGAGTCCAGTGGGATAAAGTCCACGCATGGCTTCAGATTGACCGGTGTTACGACAATCCTGTTCCTCCCGACCTGTACAGAGTCCTGGTAGAAGTCTGGAGTCGTATCCACCGGGGTTTCCTCCCACTCGTAGTCCCCAGACAGTGGCAAGTCGGCGTCGAAATTAAAGTTCCATCTCCGCTGGTCCCTCTCAGAAATCTCCCACATCTTGGATTTCATCTCCCGGTTCAGTTCATCGTGATCCACCGGTCCAAAAAGGTTACGGCAGACGCCTGTGCGTGCGTGGAGAGGAAAGGTTCTCCGTGCGGCCAACCTCTCCAGGGCGCTGCTTGATAGCTGGACGTTGGACATTGTCTTACCAAAGTCCAACCCAAAAATCCACAAAAAATTAACAAAATGCTTTATGGATAAATACCTGGATTTAGAGTGTAACAAAATATTTTAGTTTCTATCGATTTGCGCCACACGGTTCTGTTTAAATGTACCCGAGTAGAGCGCCACACCGTATTTAAAGTCCCAAACAGTTGTAGGTTCATGTAGCCAGATCGCCCGACCAGCCCATTGGTTCGTTTACATCCAACCCTTAAAAACCTCCATACCCCATTTCCATTGGCTGGTACGAAGATTTGGACCGGGGCCATCTAAAGCTTAGCTTTTGATTTGTGCCTGTGGTGTCAGTATTGGCAGTGGGTGAAATGCCTTTCGAAAGTCGATGGGAAACTGTTGTTGCTGCCTAAAGATTGCTTACTATGTATTTTTCCTTTCCCCCAATCCCCAGCCCTTACTGCTTCTCCCTCACCAGTTGCACAGCCACGTCCCGCAGGAGAGATCGAATAACAGCTTCACAAACCAAAGAGTAGAGGTTGGCAGTGCAGAAGTCTTCCACATATTATTGCTGTTTAAGAAAAAATGTCTCAGCTTCTAATAGTCCAATAGCCTATTGTCAGACCACCATTTAAATTATTGTAAGATTTCAGATGTTTCATTGCTGCTCCCATGTAAACAACCCAACCCATTTAAACAACAAACACCCACCATTTAAACATCGAATAGCCTACCTGTCTCGTTTACAAGTGAAACCTCAAATTTGGTGAAATATTAGTTCTACAAGTGAAACACCAAATCTCATCCTGATACTCAACTAAGTATGTGATGTGAAGTTAATGAAGTGAACAGTAGGCCTATAGGCTAGACGGGCTGGACTACTGCATGTGGGACCCCGGGCACCAACCTTTTGGGGGGGACTTATTACATTTTTTTGGGGAAATCAGCTAATGTACTGCATTTCAATACATTTTGCCATGGGGCAGAGAATAAAATATGCTGTTTTATAGCAAATTATTATTATTACTATGATTAGCCTACTGTTGTTCTTAATGCTATTATTTGTAAACTGCTTTTGAAACCACGTTTTATTTTGTGTGGTAATATCTAAGTTGTTGCATTGGTCTGTTGTTTCCTAATTGAATTCACAATACCGACACTCCCAAGTTAGGCTACTGATATAATTTTTCAGCAGAACCATACTCTTCTAGCGATAACATTAATAATCTACTAAGAAACCAGATACCAAATGGAAACGCCTAATGTTGCAGTGTGAAGGGCGACAGCGACCTCCTCTGGTTTACATGCTAGTGGTTTGTGTTGGATTGGGTTCGTTAAAGCCTATGATGTCACTTTTATGTGCTATGCGGTAGCGCCGTCTCGTGGTTCTCAAATTGTCATTTCTATCAAATAGGCTTCACAGCAGCACCAATTCTAAATGTGCAGATTATTTTATTCAGTGCAAACGTAATTCTGTGGCAGTACTGGTTCATTGCAAGTAGGCTAAACTGTTAAATTAAGTTGAAGACATTTCTGAAATGTTTAGGCTACTGTTTGAGTGGCAGTGAGTGAATGAATTAATGTGATGTGGTCATGATTATAATGATGATGACTTGATTACATGAATTAATTAACTCATAAAAGTGTTTGATGTTTTCTGACATGACAAAGTAATCAAGCAATTGATCAACCAAGAAAATAGGTTGATCAATGGTTTGTATTTGTTGTTGTTGTTCTTTATAACCTACTCTTTCAGGTAAGGAATACAGCGTTGTTGTCAGACCATTTTCCCTGAAGTAGAAACCTTTCCCAAATCCGACAGACAGAATACAGATATATATATATATATATATATATATATATATATATATATATATATATATATATATATATATACACACACACACACACACTCTTCTACAACTAACCTTGTGGGGACACACAATCCAGTCCCATTCAAAATCCTATTTTCCCTAACCTTTAACCCTAACCCGTACCCTTACCTTAACCCTAACCTTAACCCGAAAGCCTAACCTTCACCCTAGCTCCTAACCCTAACCCTAACTCTAAAACTAACCCTAGCTCCTAACCCTAAACCTAATTCTAACACTAATTCTAACCTTAACCCTAAACCCCCTAGAAATAACATTTGACCTTGTGGGGACTAACAAAATGTCCCCAGTTGGTCAAATTTTTGTTAGTTTACTATTCTTGTGGGGACTTCTGGTCCCCACAAGTATAGTTAAACACGTCCACACTGACACACATGCTTTGACCCTCCCTGTGTGTGTGTCTCTGGCCCTTGGGGCAGGGAGGTGTGGCCCATGTTTATATTGTTTTGTCATGGGATTTACCTGGAAGTTAATGCTGAGTTGTGGATTTTCAGGTTCATGTCCACGGACTGTTTGTCTGGTTATAGATATGATATAGTCCCGTGTAGCTCAGTTGGTAGAGCATGGCGTTTGCAACGCCAGGGTTGTGGGTTCGATTCCCACGGGGGGCCAGTATGAAAATGTATGCACTCACTAACTGTAAGTCGCTCTGGATAAGAGCGTCTGCTAAATGACTACAATTTAAAAATATGAAGCCTGTGTGAAGATGGGAGTAGGGGACCCACATTCACTTGTGGGAATCATTAAACATGCTCGTTAGCAAATGTGCATGATACCACTTATACGTACACTACCGGTCAAAAGTTTTAGAACACCTACTCATTCAAGGGTTTTTCTTTATTTTTACTATTTTCTACATTGTAGAATAATAGTGAAGATATCAAAACTATGAAACAACACATATGGAATCATTTAGTAACCAAAAAAGTGTTAAACAAATCAAAATATATTTTATATTTGAGATTCTTCAAATACCCACCCTTTGCCTTGATGACAGCTTTGCACACGCTTGGCATTCTTTCAACCAGCTTCACCTGGAATGCTTTTCCAACAGTCTTGAAGGAGTTCCCACATATGCTGAGCACTTGTTGGCTGCTTTTCCTTCACTCTGCGGTCCGACTCATCCCAAACAATCTCAATTTGTTTGAGGTCGGGGGATTGTGGAGGCCAGGTAATCTGATGCAACACTCCATCACTCTCCTTCTTGGTAAAATAGCTCTTACACAGCCTGGAGGTGTGTTGGGTCATTGTCCTGTTGAAAAACAATTATAGTCCCACTAACCCCAAACCAGATGGGATGGCGTATCGCTGCAGAATGCTGTGGTAGCCATTCTGGTTAAGTGTGCCTTGAATTCTAAATAAATCACAGACAGTGTCACCAGCAAAGCACACCATAACACCTCCTCCTCCATGCTTTACAGTGGGAAATAAACATGCAGAGATCATCCGTTCACCCACACCGCGTCTCAAAAAGACATGGCGTTGGAACCAAAAACCTCCAATTTGGACTCCAGACCAAAGGACACATTTCCACTGGTCTAATGTCCATTGCTCGTGTTTCTTGGCCCAAGCAAGTCTCTTCTTATTATTGGTGTCCTTTAGTAGTGGTTTCTTTGCAGCAATTCGACCATGAAGGCCTGATTCACACAGTCTGCTCTGAACAGTTGATGTTGACATGTGTTTGTTACTTGAACTCTGTGAAGCATTTATTTGGGCTGCATTCTGAGGTGCAGTTAACTCTAATGAACTTATCCTCTGCTGCAAAGGTAACTCTGGGTCTTCCATTCCTGTGGCGGTCCTCGTGAGAGCCAGTTTCATCATAGCGCTTGATGGTTTTTGCGACTGCACTTGAAGAAACTTTCAAAGTTCTTGAAATGTTCCGGATTGACTGACCTTCATGTGTTAAAGTAATGATGGACTGTCGTTTCTCTTTGCTTTTATGAGCTGTTCTTGCCATAATATGGACTTGGTATTTTACCAAATAGGACTATCTTCTGTATACCCCCCCTACCTTGTCACAACACAACTGATTGGCTCAAACGCATTAAGAAGGAAACAAATTCCACAAATTAACTTTTAAGAAGGCACACCTGTTAATTGAAATGCATTCCAGGTGACTACCTCATGAAGCTGGTTGAGAGAATGCCAAGCGTGTGCAAAGCTGTCATCAAGGCAAAGGGTGGCTATTTGAATATATTTTGATTTGTTTAAAACCTTTTTGGTTACTACATGATTCCATATGTGTTATTTCATAGTTTTAATGTCTTCACTATTATTCTACAATGTATAAAATAGTAAAAATAAAGAAAAACCCTTGAATGAGTAAGTGTTCTAAAACTTTTGTGTAGGGCTAGTAGTATATGGTACGGGTGAAATAAGTGGGTGAAACATTCAATTAATTATTTATGTTCGAGTTTGAGATCAGAAACACAGTTCAGAGCTTGAAGGACATTTTCCATTAAATACAGTGTTGACTGCCCCAAAAATCTAATCAGAAGGATTGTAACAAAACATGGAGTAAGAATACAAATTGACTTATTTTGCAAATGTGACTGACTGCACATCTGATATCATTTGCAAGGGCTCTGCATTTTCAAGTGTAATTTCCACTTCTAAACAGCATTTCGACCGGAGCAAGACCCATTTCAAGGGTGTGGTGCACTAAGATCTTACCTATACGTCTGGGCCTTTTGATGTGTGATTAGGCTATGGTACTTACTAGGGGAAATCGCCAACCATTTATACCACTGATGTCCCCATTGCCACCTGTAAAACCATTTGGTCTGTGTCCTCCACTCTTCCTCAGCTTACCTGGAGAAAAGGTGAGCTGACACACCCAACCAGCCACCACAAATTTGGTGTTGTTTATTACACCATTGGATTTCTGTAGAGATTTATGTGGTGCCAACATTTACATAAACATTACGTCCACATTTGCATTACCTGCAGGCAGGTGCATATTTGTTGCTGTATTTGTTTGTAAGAAAATACACTAATGTGAATGCATACACATATACTACGTAACTTCTTACTAATCTATTACAGGATTCCACTAGTAAATCACTCCCTCTGTTACAGGCCCTACTGTATGTAATGTAAAATGTGACCAAATTGGCACTTTTGTCACGATCGTCTGAAGGATGAGACCAATACGCAGCGCGTGTTCCGAGATACATGATGACTTTATTAAATTAAAGTGACCACAGAGAAAACAACAAAATACGATACGTGAAGTTCCACTGCTGAAATAACAACAAACGCCACACGGAAACAAAAACCCCAAACAAAGGTGAAACC